ACGTACTCTCGCCTCGCTGATAAAAATCAGGATTGTCAACTTGGATGGGAGACTAACTTGGTGCTAAAGATCACAAGTAATTATCGTAGCTATTCCTTGCTTCGTGGATCACGTATATGATCAAACATGTCTATTCTTAGCCAAATAGCTCTAGTCTTCCCTGTATCTATAGTGCCAAGTCTATGGCTTTCTATGCTCTAGTCTCTTGTGCATAAACCTGTAAATGTTGTGGTTATATAACCCATCGTTAGATGTTAAGAGTTCTCGTGAAATCCGCTCAAAAGGGCGCACCATACTACATTTGACTGAGTAATTAAGTAATTGATATAGTAAATGGGATGATACGAGGATGTAGGATGAGTGAAAAAGCAGAAAATTGATCAGACGATCAGCTTCATTTGTCTCTTTGACGAGTTGATGTTGTGCTAAAAATGGAAAGACGCACTGACGATGCGCATATCCACCTTTGCTCAATGTTCAGGGCTCGTTTGATCACTAGTGACTTCCCAATCGAGTTCGGAAAAGGTTCATAGTATCCCGTTAACTTAGTTTTGCTTTTTCCCTCAACTGGCCTGCTTCATATCTGATGTTGACGATTGTCGTTTCGCCCTATTCTTGCAGACACTGCTTTGGCATTTGCCTCCCTTGCCATACAAGCCTCTTTCTCACTTACTTTCCTATACAATCCACCATAGTGTGTTGGCAGTTAACATGCATCTTTCGATACTATAGAAATATAGTAAATCTGACGAAACGACATCCTATGTCTTCGCTAAATGCATTGCAAACTGGTTCAACAGCGGCCTCATCTATCTTAGCTGTATGCGCGACTTAGAAGTTTTTGTAACATGATGATCTCGGGATGTGATTGATTATGCTCATTCACAGATAAAACCTTCGAAATGTTTTCTCTCGGCAGAAAATTCTGCAAATTGTGTACTGTTTTTATTTGTGATCGGGCTGCTCATTATGAGATGACCTGAACTTCGCCCACGACTGTTAAGCAAAAGCGTCACAATTGACCCACTTTCAGCCGGCATCTTCATTCGCTTTTTACATGCTGCGCTTTACGGGCAACTTGACGTTTTGCGTGAAATTTCTGCAGCCTCTCTTCACCTTCAGACTTGGACTAGACTCGGTAAACATACTTTTGGTATGAAGACCAAGATGGTGTGGCCTTTTGTGTGTTTGCAGTCTCCTTTCGTTGTATATAGGTTGTATAGAGGCCGACTACGATGCCGGCGAAACGTCTGGGAATGTACCATGTTCACGGTCCTACTCTGGAAATGATGATGCAAACAATGGACTCCGGACTAGGTACGTTTCTCTAAGTCTTCCTACCAATATGACCATGTTGCGAAAACAAGGTCAAACAACCTCTAAACATACTTTTGCTTCCGATTTTTGACAGTCATTTCATGAATAAACCACAGCCATAAAGAGGGGTCTTGTATCTCTTTTGTACTGTTTGCAATGCAAGAGAGTGTCATCGGTAACTTATTCACTGGACTGTCGACTCTTGCTGATTGCTTCTATCGCCATTCAGTAGCTTGGCTTATATGTCATTATTGGACCCCTTAATCTGCATGTAAGTGTGTGATTAGTAGCATTTCTACTAGAAACTTTATTGCCTGTTTTTTGCTCCTTTTTGATTGTTGTGGAGACATCCATTTCTTATGAAAGTTCAGGATGAAGTGATTCAGTCGATCTTGCCAGGAGATGACGGCCGATTCTCGTTGTATTGCAGTCGTTTGGCTTTTCTACGACCTTCGTATGTAAGTAGGGTTTCGAGACTACCATTAAATCAGTGTAATGAGATGTATTCACCCTATTTCGTTTTTAGGTGATGAAGGATGGTTGTAGAATTTTCCCACAATGATATGAGTTAAGCTGACGTTTCCATTGAATTTCACATAGCCCTGCTTTTCCCAAAAGTTGTTCTCATCCGGGCACCAGTGGACTGCAGTGAAATTCAATGGAAACGTCAGCTCAACTTATATCATTGTGGGAAAATTCTACTACCAGTCCTTCAGCACCTTACACGAAATAGGGTGAATACATCTAATTTCTACGACCTCCCACTTTTCGAGGTATATTGGGCTGATTTTTCTGTCATGCTTTAACGAATCACACAAATGACACATCGTCAGATCCGGGACTCGTTCTTGCAAAGGTCTTTAGTTAACACCAATTCAACAATGCCGACCACCTTTTTCCTACTTAACATATATACTCATAAGGAGAAAAATTCGTGTGTGTATATATATAATGAGATGTATTCACCCTATTTCGTCTAAGCCGATGAAGGACTGGTAGTAAAATTTTCCTACAATGATATGAGTTGAGCTGATGTTTCCATTGAATTTCACATAGCCTTGCTTTTCCCAAAAGTTGTTCTAATCCGGGCACCAATGGACCGCAGTTTCGACCTCGCATCGGTCTTATCAACACCCTCAGCGGGAGTCGAACCGCGACAGTGCAG